CCATAAGACGCTGCCACAGTGAGGCAAAAAAAGTAATTGAAAACAATCATTAAGAAAGGGCTAAAAAAACGAACTGAAAAACTTAGGTAGAGCCCTATCTTTCATCCCCCCTCCCCCCTCTCTCACGCTCTTCTTCTATGTGTATCACTTAATTATAACTGTACACACGCACACACATCTCTATATAGCTGGTGCTGCCTCTTTGTTTTGGGCATTCCGATATTTGTATTATTTCTTTTCGTACACCTCGCCAGCTGCTGCTGCTGCGACGCCGCTCTCTGTGGGATATGCGGCGCAGACAGCGCTTCAGTGTTTACTTTTTCACTTCATTAAAGGAGTTGCTTGCTGAGTTACCGCTCAGCTGAGCTGTTTCGTATACCCTGCAATCATTACTGCCCGAGCTGGGTCTTCGGCTGGCTCTGTCGCGCTGACTTCGCTCAGCTGACCTCAGGGAACTAGGCGCTGGCTCATCCTAGACCTCTGATATTTGGTATGTGGCTATATATGGGCTTTACTTACATAAATATATTCAAAATGTTGACTGCTTTCAGAGAGTTCTCAGAGTGCATCAGTATTTGTAGTGCATATGATTGACTGCTGTTAGTTCTTTTTACTTTTCAGACTCATTTTACTCTTTCCCTACTTCATATGTCCTCAAGGAACTAAGAACTGGTTCAAGCTAGACCTCTGAAATTTGGTATGTGGCTATATATGGGCTTTACTTACATAAATATATTCAAAATTTTTAATATTTTGTGCTACTTCTCGAGTAACAGATACAAATTATATAAAATATTTAAAAACTTTACCTAAAGCCAGTCACATATAAACTAGGTATGGTTTAGTCGAGTTATGATAGGCCTAAAACTGAAGTTTGGGCTCATCTATGGCAGTATTTATCCATTATGTCTCCTCTACATACAGGGTATTAGTTAGTCGGTCACTCCTTGAGCTGTTATTACCGCACAACAACGAGAGTCGTAGGAGTTGTACAAGATATTCAAAGAACGACGCGACGTCCAACTGTGCTGAGTCTCGAGACACGGACCACGAACCACAAAGCTGAGGCTTAAAGATGGTAGCGAGCGAGAGGGAGAGAGAGGGAGAGTCGGAGAAACCCATCCCCTTGCATATTATTTATTTCTTTATTAATTATTGTTTTGATACCTCTTCGCCTGACTCTGCCCCACTGGCTCGACTCCATCCATGTGGGACTTGTGTCTCTTGGGTCACCGGCAATGTTTCTGATTTGCATATCTAGGCAGCGCGGGGGTTCCTCCATTTGTAGTCGCAATTAGCCAAAGTTGGACTTCTTTCACTCATCTGATATTCCCTTAATTTCGCTTAATTATCTTCAATTGTTTAATAGCCGACTGATTTGGCTTAATTACACTTTACAAATCGCCAAATTAGCCGGCGGCAATTGAAGTTGAATTCGCGACGCTTGGAGGCAAGGTTCATAATTGACCGGCTGCATTCAATGGATTGAATGGGCTGATTGAATTGACTGATTGAATTGAACTTCAAGCTGAACTCTCTTGATTATCGTTCGATGCTGCAGTTGCCCTAATCTTCTTCATATGCAAATCGAATGCGAATTGAAACAGGTTGAAACGCAATGCGAATCGAAGGGAATATTTATAGCCTAATTCTTTATTGAAATTGAAAGATTGAAAGCAAAAATAGTTGAAAATGTTCTTCAATTGAAGTTGAAATTGAAGTATTGATGTTTGAGTGAAATTTAATTGAATTGAATGAATGTTAAATGCATAGTTGAAACATAATTGAATAACATATTGAATTGAATCTGAAAATTGAAACAAAAATATTTCAAAATGCTCTTCAACTTGATTAAAAATAAATTGAATTGAAGACAAACTAAAAGTTATTCAAATTGAAAAAAGGTTAATTGAATTGAAACAGGTTTAAGTGAAGTAAAGAATTGAAAGTGATGAAACTCAGTTGAATTGAAAGAAAAAAAATTGAATTCAATTGAAACTGAAGTAAGATTTGATGAAGATTGAAGTTCTCTTAGAATCACGGAAGAAGTCAATTTTCATTGGGTTTGTGTACTACTATTTTCATGAACTCATCTGTGTTTAACTTACGCATTTTCATTTTCTTAACTCTCTTCTTAAATGGGATTTACTTCATGCAAATCGAATGTACTTTCCAAATAGATCAGTTTTGCCTTATTCACACACATACACATGCGCGCGCGCAGATAGCGATGCTTACCTTGCATATAAATCATATAATATCATATCGTTTTACCAACAACAACAACAGCCAATGCGGGCCCACGCAGCAAATAGCTAGAGAGCAGCATGAGGAAGAGGGAAGAGGCAGAAGACAATGAAGAATAACAGTCTCAGGCCTCGGACCTCAAGTGGCGCTCAAAGCCGGCGCTCAAGTGTGTACACACGCACACATTCACACACACATGCGTGTGCTATACAAATGATGAGAGCGTAACAGATTGAGAGAGAGAGAGAGAGAGAGTGACCGAGACAGGCTGGCCAGCCATCGCTCATGTGAAACTCATAAATTCACGCCGCAGACAACGGCGTCGTCAGCAACGACGACGCAATTAATCTGCCTGCCTGCGCAGTCGCCGTCGTATTCGCCTTCGCCTTCGCCTTCGCAGTTGCCGTCGTTGTTTGCCTTTTGCGCCAGCGCAGCTGTTGACAACGTCGCTGTCGCCGCCCGCTGCGCCCGTTGATTGACCTTATTATTTTCCGTATGCGTGTCTATGCTTGTGTGCGTGCATGAGAAATGTGCCCAAAATGTGTTGTAACTGTTTATCGATGAGGGACAACAACTGCAGTTTGGCACTTGGTGCATACTTTAAGCAGAGAGAGAGAGAGGAGGATGAGGCTTTTGCGGTTGCGGCGAGGTGTCATATTACGTCTTGAGTTGGGTCTGTGGCGGCAGCGCAGCTTGCGAAAGCCGTTGCTGCGCCGACGCCTGCGTCGCCTGTCATTTATAAGACTTGAGGGCGCATTTATCAATTATAAGAAGCTGCGTTTAGCATGATTAAGAGATGGTAAAAGATGCCATAAGCGATATGTATCGATAATCGATATTCATTTATGCATATTATTGGTAAATAAGTACCTCAGAAAAAACTATCGATTGCCTCATGATGCACTTGAGTTAGCTCAAAAACTATTTTCACTATTGATATATTATCGATTTACACGCTAAAGTCGATTGCCAAGTTATCGAAATATCGAAAAATATCTCATGTTCATAGAATATACCCACATTGTGTAAGCTATAAAAGTTTATTACGAAAAACAAAAAAACTATCGATAAATATATCGATTATTTAGTTTTTCTATTCTGGCTCTTAAACTCTTATATTTGCTAACGCCTTAGAATCCACTGAAACTTCCAACAAGTTGTTTCCGAAACGTTGCAAACTTAGCTAAGTTCACAACCTGCTTGGCGCGCTCTCCTGTAGCCTGTATAAGAGCTGCCTTTACTATAAAAACTGTGCTACGGCAGCAGCTCTTAAAGGCGCTACGAAGAGAACGCCAAAGTTACATAAATATTGTTGTTACGAATAAGCAAGAAACTTTGCTTTATATCTTATCTAAATTTTTTATCCAATTGGGAAACGAAATAAATCAAAATGGTGAAAATTTAACAGAAAAATATAATAAATAAAAACATTTTTTCCATAAATGAATAAAATATATAAAACATAAAATAAAAGCAAACTTTTCTATAATTCTATATTAAATATTTTTTATAAATTTTTTTTGTATATATTTCTTGTATATGTATTCTTTCAATTTTTATGTAATCAAAAATTGGCATAAATTGTTGAAAAATTGATTGAATGGCAATTAATGCGGGCAAACTGTTATACGCGCATAATGCGACGCAGTAAACAAGATGGAACAGCTGTTCGACTTTAGCGGCAGCAGCGCAACAACAGAAACCTGTGGCGGCTAACAGGAGCGCTGTCCTGTAAACTGTAAACACGTTCAACGAGCGTATAACAGTCACGTGCGTCACCAGAGAGCAACAGACTGTGAGCGCGAGAGAGAGCGAGAATGAGAGAGCGTTCACTGTGATATAACAGGGCTCTTTGAAGCTGTTTGTTTATTTTACTGTTAGCGTTTACTTTAGACAACAAATGCAATTTGTCAATTGCGGACCTGCGGATGTTTACAAAAAAAATGAAGAGTTGATATTATATTGGAAAATATTATTTATAGATAAATTCGAATTACACATTTCTTATATTTGTAATTAATTCTTAATATATGCTATTTTTAAATCGCATTTTAATAAATTTAAATTTATTTTAAATCGATTTAAGCACATGAATTATTTCGATGTGCTTGCCAATTTGGATGGGCTAGTTAACAGTCGCTGACCGCGGCTTACTAGTCCCTGGCGCTGTTAAGAGCAGCATCAATGTAATCAAGCCGCTTACAGAGGCTGTGAGAGCCACCCGCATGTCTTACATCTTACAGAGAGCGCAACGCCTTAACATATGCGGCAGCGCGCTCTCGCTCTTTCGCTGTTGTGCTCTCACGTGTTAAGCGGACAAGCAGTCAGACGGCAGGCAGGCAATAACAGCAGCGCCAGAAGCAATAGCAGCCATCAGAAGGCAGCAAACAGCAGGCAGCAGGCACAAGCAGCAGCCATCGTGACGGGCACGCGTTTAGTTCTGTGCGATTCATTGAAGCGTTTGGACACGTTATCGGTGCGTGTGTCCCCGTTAATCAGCGCCAACCGATTTCGTTCGTCTCTCACTGTGTGAGCGCGCGCGTGTGTGTGTGTGCGTATATTTTGCTTTGCGCCTCTGAGTGTGTGTGTCCGCGCGTGTAACGCGCCTTACAGCAGCCCAAAACCAAGCAAATACAGTTACAACAGCAACAAAAACAACAGAAACTGCACATAAATATCATCGTTATTTTATTTGTGCATCTTTTGTTTTTACGGTCGTTCGGGCATACTCTCTATTTATTATTTTTTTTGCCAATTTTTTTCAAGTGCAAATTCTAACAGCAACAACAACAAATACGCAAAAGGACTTGCAAAAAATCGAGAGTGTGCGGTAAAGTACCGCTAGAGTGTTACGCGTGGAATACTAACGACAACAACAACAGCAGCAGACGAAGAAGTAGAAGGAGGCGAAGTAGAAGCAACAACAATAACAGTTGTTGCAGCAGCTGCGGCGGTTGGTTTATTTTCTTCCTTCTGTTCGTATATTGGATATTTCATTGCTCTGACGAGCAGAGAAGAAGAAGAAGAAATAGAAGAAGTTGTCGAAGAAGTAGAAGAAGCAGCAGCAGCCAAACGTCGCGCGGAAACCATTTTGCAAGTGCAGCGGCAGCGACAGCGACAGAGGCGTCGACGTCCACAAAACCACAATTGCCAAAGGAAGCAACAAATGTAGGTCAAATACCGTTATTAAACACTTTCCAAACTATCCCAAAAAGACAACAAACTAAAATTAATTAATTGGGAAATATTTTAAACAAATATATAAAAATTTTTTTTTGCAACTTTGTGCGCCATTCACTTTACGCCTTTACGTTTCGGTGCGATAAAAATAGTTGAATGAAAAATTATATATAAAAAAATTTGAAAATATAATATTAAATGATTTTACTATATTAAAAAGTTATAAATAGAGTGCAATTAGGTTTGCTTTATTAGAAAATAGAATTGCTATATGAAATTTGATAATATAATATGATATTATGGTACATAATAACATATTAATATAAATATAAACAAAAGCATTAGCATTCAAGCTTTATTTCCTCTTCAATGTTTGGGGAATCAAGATATAAAAATATTATTTCAATAGAGTTCATGGAATTAGAGAATCTTTCTGCATGTTTGCCACAAGATTTTATTTTAGGAAAAAATGAGAAATTAAATCCTAAAACGAAATAAAATAATTTAGTTAAGAAATTCATTTTAGTTTCGCAGAAAACAACAATAAAACAAAACAAAAAAATAAATTTTGTTTTGAACTAAAATTGAATCAAATATTACAATTAAAAAATTAATGTACATTTTTAAAATAAATAAAAAAATTAAAATTCAATAAAAGTAAATATGATAAATAATTTAAATTGAAATAAATATAATAAAATAATTCAAGTGAATAAATTTAATAAAATATATGAAATTCAAAATTAAATAACAATAATATGAAAACTCAAAAGTCCGCAGACATAGCGAAAATCTTTTAGTTAAAGCAAAAAGTCAATGTTTTTTTTTATTTAATTGGTTAAAGCAAATGGCAGAAAAAACAAGACATAATAAACAGAAACAATAAACAAATATAAATATTTATATATATTTATAAAGTATAGTTCATAGATTTAATATTTACACACTGATGAGCTTTTGACTGATTAATGGTAGACATTTTTTATGTGTTTTGTTTGTCTTTGAATTGCTCATTTCTTATGCTCGCTCGCTAAGTGAAAAGCGAGCATATTGGTTTGCTGTGCAAAGTACGCCCGAGGACTAGGACTTTGAGCTCTATAAAATATGTAAATATCAAAATGATATTGTTATGTTTAGAGTCAGATATATTCTTCACAGTCTCAGTGTCGAGTAATGCAATTACTCCTCTGTTAATCAGTTCGTGCCTTTGGCGAGTATTGTGCAGTCGGTTGAGCGCGACTGCAAGATTTTTAATTTCATTTTTTTATTGCCTTTTTCATGTGTTTTGCACTGCATTTGTTGTTATTGTCTCTGTCCAAATGTTGTGCCTTTGGCGGACCATAAACCCAGCCGACGGCATTTTACAAAGCGAACTCGTCACATTTTGCAGAACAAATATGTAAATAGAAAATCGCAGCAGCTGGCAAATAGTAACTTGTAGTTCCACAATTCTAATGGAACTGTGAACTTGAGCTCGTTATCTCGGGCAAATAAATCGTTCAGCTTAAACAATTTTCTCTTCTGGCAAATATGGCAGAAATAGGAAAATATATTTGAGTTCGCAAAGATTTTTGGCACAAATATGTAAAGAATTTATATCTGCAAGTTAATGGATATGTGATTTATAGTTTTAAGTGAGTGTGGGAAAAAGAACAAAACAGAGAATACGATCAAGCTATTTAAATAAACTGCAATTGCACAAAGGATATTTACAGCTTTGCTCATAAAAATAGTAGTGAGACTGAGCACTAAATTTTGGACAAAAGTAATAAAGGTTGAGAATTTAGTGATTACCACAATGTTTTGAAATGAATATTAAGATTGGCATATTTTGTTGTTAAATAACATATATTTTTTATTATTAGCTTATGTGCACTTCGGTGCTTGCGGAAGAAAAATTAATAAAATTTAGTTATTCATAAAAATAGTAGTGCAACTGAAGCCTAAATGAACATTAAAACAAATATTAGAATTAAAATATTTTGTTTTCAAATGAGATGAATTCGTTTATTAAAAACTTAGGGACAGGTGCGCTTTGCTGGTATAGGCAGAAAAATTAATACAATTTAGTTATTCATAAAAATTGTAGAGTGCGAGTTTGTAGTAAATGTGGACAATTTAGTGATAAACACAATAATTTGAAAAAAATGTTCTTAAAATGGAAAACCAAATGGGTTGTTCATAAAAATAGTAGTGGCTATTAAAAAATGAGTGCAGCACTACTATTTGTATGAACAAAAAATTTTCTTTATTAAATTAGCCTGCAAAGAAAGTAAAACAAAAAAACTAATTTGAAAACTTGAAGACAGTCAGAAGAAACTTGTTAACAATTTTGAAAGCTTCTTAATACTAAACATTTTAAAGCGATAAAATGCAGCACTAATAAAATATGCTTTTAAATAATCTACCTATGTGAAATTAAAAAAAAAACTTGTTTTTAAAGTTAAGCAGAATAATAAAAATATGTTTTATTGATTGCTTCGCTTACAACGCAGTAAATTTACGTGATATCAAAGGCTTTTCCAATTGAGTAAATTTTCCATTTCACATATGCTAGCTGGGTAAGGGTAGAGATTTTCATTTTGGCTTTTCATTTGATTAGATACTTAAGAGATGCCAACTTCAAGACGAAGCAGAAGAGGAAGCAGAACTTAGAGCTTAAGATAAATGTATTTTTAACCCAAAATTAAGTTTAGCGAACTGAAGTGAAAAACTTGAGAAGTCTTTGAGCAATTCTTGTGTTATAAGGTGTATTGTATGAGACAGAGAGAAGCTGACTGAGAGTAATAGAAAGTTTAAATATTTTTATAGAATTTGTGAATAATATAATATTTTACATAGAAGTAATCAATTCGAGTTAGGCAAATATGAAAAACGTATAAGAAAATTTGAAATATATTGAAATATATAGTTATAGTTACCTCTATAGCAATTATAGATACATATAGGTAGACATAAGGGTAAAGATACAGATACAACTATGAAATTTCATATCCAGTCTCAGCAGCGCCGATTGCTTCACATTGCAAACTTTGATTCGATTACAGAAAAGTGTTTTTGGTTTATTTAAGGCTTTAAGTACATGCCTCTTGCTCTTTCCTTTATGCCTTTTAAAGCTGTTGCCATCATCCAGATCCCATCCACAAATTTGATTGATTATAATGCTCGGCTCTGGCGCATAAGTGGAAGGCGATGCCGTAGCCCCGCAAAAATTAGCTCAAATTTCGCACAGCTGTTGAGGAGTATATTTTGTACAGATATTATTATTATTATTTCTATATATACACGTTTTTCTCTGCTGCTGCTACTTTTTTTGCTGCTGCGCCGTTGCCACATTTCAGCGAAGGTCTCCGTTGAAATCAAAGACTTTTTCTGCTTTTGCCGTCTGTTTTGTCCTGATGCGCAAATCCTCCACGGCGCGAACATCATTATCAGCATTAACTTGATTATCAAGCGCTGCAAATGTGGCGCACAGCTGTTGGCAGTTTAACGCAACAACAGCAGCAGCAGCGAAAAAGATATTGTATCTGTATCTGATGGATGCAAGCGGGCAGCAGCAAAGGCATCTTCTGTTACCTGTTACCGAATGTTAGAGATCTACCAGCTCTATTGTAAAACTGTAGCGCCCATCCTTTCAGCTGTAGCCGTATCTCTGTCTGCATCTCTGTCTCTGCATTTGCATCTACAACTGTGTGTGTGTGTGTGTGAGTTGCTTTGAATCTTATGATGCAAGTGCTGCAAATTAGTGCAACAGAAATGTCAAAGTGACTGCTGCTTGGCAGCAAGGTGTTGGCAGTGCTGACTGACAGCTCTATCCGTCTCGCTCTCTCTATCTCTGCGTCTGTGTGTGTGTATCTAAAAGATACACTTGCAAATTGTTATAGTTATAGATACAAAACCAAAATAGCAGGCGCAGGCAGACAGCAGCAGCAGCAGCCACTTGAGATGATTTATGATGCCAGGCTACACACACACACACACACACACACACACCATTGGTGCAGACAGGCAGCAGCAGCAGCGTCTAAAATAACAAGCAGAAAGAGCAGTTAGCTATAGGGTTTATCCGCAGCAACCAATACACTTTGAACGAACTGATTATAGCCAAGAAAATTCTGACTGAGGAATTGTTAGAGAATGTTTAACAGGCCACGAAGCTGTAGCGTGTTGAAGCAGAGCCCAAAAACTAAAACAAAACTCTCGATTTCGACTCAATTTCAGCTACAGAGAATTATGCAGCAGATGCTGCTTCTCTCTATAATCTTGAACTTAACTGAAAGCGTAGCATATCTAATTAGATCTTAATTTAACTTAAACTAAAACAATTTACTGGTTACTTGTAGCGAGTGACTACTGTATTGCTCGCAAAACTAAGAGACTTTTGGTTATAGAGCATTCTGCTCCAAAGAAAAGGCTATGCCATTGATAGCAGCAGTCAGCGCACTTTGAGTGTCCCATCTCTATCTATCTCTCTCTCTCTCGCTCTCGCATGATTGTGCAGAAGCAGACTAAGAGGCCAGGCTAGAGCCTGAGATATGGAATGTGCGCGCCTTTGCAGAGGTGTGAAGGCGCAGGTAGGCCAGGCCGAGCGGGGTGCGAAGCCGGGCACAGGCAAAGCCTTGAATTGAAAAATTCCAAAAACAAAACACGCAACAACAGCGACAATGATGCGGCTAAAACGAAAATTGAAGGTAAAAAGAAGCATTGCCAATGTGCCGTCCAGCTTCGAGCTGTGGCACTTGGCCGAAACACTTGGCCCACAGGTAACACAGACACACACAGCAACAACTCCTGCTGCTGCTGCTCTATCCTCCACACTGCTGTTGCTGCCGTGGTCTTCGTCATTACCGTCATGCCTTGTCATAGACAACATCGTTTATTTTCCAGCCACAGCGACTCCGGCTGCTCGCCCGCCCGCCTGCCCGCCCGCCCTGTCGCTCACTTGGCCAGTTTTTCCATTTGGCACCTCTTCGCTGTGTCTGTGAATC